ATCTATGGTTTTCAGGTGTTTTGGGCCCCACCTAGAAAGAAAGAAAAATTAAGCGTCCCCCTGGACAAATTCTTAAACACGCCCCTGCAGGAATTACAGGGTTAAGTTAACATTGGAATAATTGAGAGATCATATAAAAACAAGGTGATATAATGTTCTTCTTATGGATCAGTAAATGACAAAACAAAGCATCATACAAATCTTGAATTAACCTTTTAAATTTTATAAGGCACGAAGAAAAAATTGTTCAATTGAAATTGTCTAAATAATTTTAAGAATGAGCTGTGCGAAATGTAATTTGAAATCACAATTTGTTTCAATTATTGGTTGTTTGAAAAAAAAACCTAAACAACGATGGAACTAACATAGCCATTGGTTAGGGTTTGTTTAGAAGCTAATCGGGATTGAAAATGAGTCATATTAGATCCGAAGTCAGAACTTGTGTGTTGTGAATCTCTGGACCCATCAATCAATAATGCATAATAATGATAACCTGCAGATTAATTTAATTCCTATTCGATTTTTCTTGGTTATCAATGCCTACTTGGATAACTTCAATTAAAAAATGCTCCTTTTTGGGTTCGATATCAAGCGTTTTGTTTTATACAATTTTTTAGATTCATCAATAAAAACAGAAATCTGCAAATGAGAAAACGCATGCCTTTGACGAAATTTTGATTGTTGTCAATAATAACAACCTTCAGATCAGAATACAAAGAAGATAGATCATACAATTTTGGGAAACTCCTCAAACGAGGCCACCTTTTTAATATCCCTCCTAGAAAAAGATTCTGTTACAAAAGGGATTGTCGGCGTTAATTTTAAATTATTCTTTGATTAAAGAGTTTATACAAGAACCCAATTTACATGTAATAGTTTCAGTATAAGTAAATATTTCCACTCACTGATGGTGCCGATTCATAACTCTAATTGGATAATGAGATAGATAGAAAGATTGATGTTACCGCTATTCCATTGGTTCAGAATGGACAACAAACACATGACTGAACACTGATTGGATCAGGCGCTAACGGACTCTGTATACAGGAGTGAACGGCCCCTTTAAACCTCTGAAGCAAATGGAAGTAGATAACCCTCTTTTTTACCGTAAAATTTATGTTTTTTTAATTGCGGTGTCACTTTTCAACAAATACATTTTTTATAGTTTCTCAGACAAAGGTTTAAAGATTTCCATTGTGAATCCGACATGTACCTCGTGCAGATGTAACTTGAAATTAACAATTCCAATAAGTCGTCTTCCAATTCTCATATTTTTCGGTCAACGTATTTTCTTCGATCTTTTCATTTGGTAATGGAAACAAATATGGGAATTAAGATGAATTAGAGAGGTTACACTCACTATAAACAAAGATTTTATTATTTTCCTTATAGTTCCCCTGACACAGCAGTATTTTCCATTTTCTAAATTAAAATATTTTTTTTAACGCATGCAGTTGAATTATAAGGTACATGAAATATATTTCTTTTTTCATCTGCTAGCTATAAGTAAAGTTGTAAATGGAAAAACATTTTTAGTAATTGGTGAGTTTTTTGTAGAATATCAAACTAAACATTTTATACTATCTATATCTCTGCGTAGATTTTTTAAATAATTTTAAACTACACAATTTATATATGTATTCATATCTTTCTGTGTTAATAAATCTTTATAATATGATAATAATAATGATATATGATTTTATTTTTTTATATATACATGCACATTTGGGAAACCTAAATGGCCAATACATTTCTGAAAGAATCACCTTGTAAACAGACAACTGAAAGTGCAGGTCAAAACTCAAAACAAATATTTAGTTTGTTACAGGAAAAAGTAGCCATTCAGGCAGTTAGTATAAAAGCCCAGTGTTAAGGGTGCTATGGGTACTGAGTATTTAGGAAAAGTCAGAAAATTTCAACAGCCTCAGACGACTCAGACCATTACTTTTTGAGTTCTGATATTTCATAGAGAAACTGCAGTAAGAAGAACGATGACGTGTGGACAGAGTACTGAAAATTAAGAAATAAAATTAGCATGAGTTCATCTCGTATTAAAAAAGGACAAAAATTGTAAATAAAATCTTTTTACCAAAATAAACGATGATAGAAAATGATAATCTGTAGTCTAAAGACGAAAGGAGAACAGGAATAGATTTTTAAACAAGATTCCAAAAACTAAACAAAATTATTCCAGACTAGGAAGAAGAAAATGCTCATGTACTAAATAGAAATATATATTAAAGAGAATTTTTAATGGAACATTAAGTAAGATATTTTGTACAGAGTTGGTTTTCAATCAAAAATGAACAGTTTTAACGCAAAACTTAAATCAATCCGATAAAAAATGATCTATTTCAACAATTTTTTGTTCTATTGTTTTCAATTACATTATGTGCGTCCCCCGAAAAGATATTAATTTAGTTGGAGTCTTTTGGTGAAAAAAGTAAAATATGGTACATATTTGTACATAGACGGTTAAGGTAATTACCACCCCCCCACCACTCTCTATGCTATTCCACCACAGTATAATTAAAATATGGTACATATTTGTACATAGACGGTTAAGGTAATTACCCCCCCCCTCTCTATGCTCTTCCACCACAGTATAATTAAAATCATGTTTCAACTAGAAAAATATTCAAAAATCAATTTTTCTCTTGTTTGCAACAAATTCTCTATTGTGGATTTAGGGATAACGAAAGAAAAGTGTTTGTATGCAAACCTACAGGGTAAATCGAAAATTGCATTTACTTAAGTCGAAGGATAGAGGTTAGCCGAAGAGGGTTATCCGAAGATGTCAGTTTCTTGTACTTAATTCGAAGAAATTGGGTTGGAAGTCGAAGATTAGGGGTAAACCGAATATTCGTATTTTTTTCTGGAAAAATTAAGAATCACGCAACCTCTTCTATTAAAAATAATAAATATTATCACACCTTTCACACATTTTACGGTATCAAAATCTAATGAAACAGGAGAGAGAAATATGTACAGTTTAGAAAAAGATAGAGCATGATAAAACAGGATAGAATTGGATAGAAATAGATAAAACATTACAGAACGGAAAAGAACCGAATAGAACAGGAGAGAGTAGAATAGAAAAGAAAATAACATAAGAACAGAATCGAACAGAATAGAATAGAATCGAACAGAATAGAATAGAATAGAATCGAACAGAATATAATCGAATAGAATAGAATAAAATCGAATAGAATAGAATCGAACAGAATAGAACTGTATAGAACAGGATAGAACAGGATAGAGCAGAAAGTAATAGGCATGGACTGGAAAGAACAGGATTAAACAGAATATAATAGAATAGAATGGAATAAAGCAGAATAGGACAGGATAGAACAGTATAGAATTGGATAGAACAGTATAGAAAGAATTGAACTGAATAGAAGCCAATAGAACAGGATATAACTGGATAGAACTGGATAGAACAGGATAGAACTAGATAGAACTGGATAGAACAGGATAGAACTGGATAGTACTGGATAGAAAAGGATAGAAATGGATAGAACTGGAAAGAACAGGATACAACTGGATAGAATAGGAAAGAATAGAATAGAACAGGATAGAAACAAATAGAACAGGATAGAAACAAATGGAACAGGATAGAACAGAATGGAACAGGATAGAAAAAGGATAGAACAGAATAGACAAAAGAACATAATAGAACTGGATAGAACAGGATAGAACATGATAGAACAGGATATATCAGAATAGAACAGAATAGAACTGTATAGAATAGGATAAAACAGGATAGAACAGGATAGAACAGGATAGAACAGGATAGAAATAAATAGAACAGAATAGAGAAAATAGAACAGAATAGAACTGGATAGAACAGGATAGACAGGATAGAACAGAATAAAGCTGGATAGAACAAGATTTAACATGAAAGAACAGGACACAACAGAATAGAACAGAATTTAACTGCATAGAACAGGAAAGAGCAGGATAGAAGAAAATAGAAGAGGATTGAAACAAATAGAACAGAACAGAACAGGATAGAACAGAATAGAACATAAGAGAAAAGAATAGAACTGGATAGAACATTATAGAACAGGATATAACAGGATTGAACATAATTGAACAGGACGTAACAAATGCTTTGGAACAGGACAAAACTTTTTGATTTGGGAAATGACTTATTCTAACTGCGTAAAAAAGGATAGAAATGGTTAGAGCATGGCTAGAACTAGATATTCAACAGAATGGTACCGGACCGAACAGTAAAAAAAAAGATAGGAAAGCTAAGAAGATAGGATGGGATACCCTAACAGGATATAATAGGATAATAAAGCAAACACTTGCTAACTTAAAAAAAAAAACAGCAAAAGTTAAATCTCAACTAATTCATTAGTTCCCATTTTTAACACTACAAATGTTACCTTTGGTTCTTTATGCTTTGGATCCATTTTATTAAAAACTTTATTAACCTCAATTTATTGATCAGCATTACCCTTTGTTTTTCATGAGGTTATCTGTAAAACAATTTTCTATTCGGTTTCTGCACAATTTAATTTGCACTTTTACCATACATATCATTTAAATTTCAAGTTCACTTGATAACAATATAAAGGTGCAGAATCATGTTATTGTGTTCATAATAATAACAGGGATAAAGTTCGAGTTTACTCCATAATAATATAAGGTCTGAAAACTTACTGAGTCAAGCGAACATTTTCCTGCAAATATTTACTTAATTCGAAGGATGGAGCTTCAAAAGGTGACATTTTCCTGTACTTAATTCGAATAAAAAGTGTCGAAAATAGAAGATACATGGTACAGCGATTATTATTAGTTTTTAATTTTACTCCATAATGAACACAGGATTTAGGTTCAAGTTTTCTCCACAGTACCAACAAGAGGAGAACCTTAGGAGAATCTTGAGGTCGGCCCGGCGTCTAAGACTAGGTTTCAGACTCTAAGATTCTACCCGGGTAGTAAATATGTTTAAAAAAGGTTTAATTCTCAAGAATTTACAAATTACGCAATGACAATTAAAAATAATATTTGATATGAATATTTGATATTTTTAACATGGACTATTTGATCACAGAGAATTTTAGTTGAAATATCACATGTCTAGAACATACGATTGTTAAAAGGAGAAAAAAAAAGGATAATGTGTCAATCTCTAAGATCTTTTCCTGGTCCCTTGCTTTATCTTCCTGTAGGGGTTAAAATTATTGAATTATAAAAAGTTTAATACTTGATACATCTCCATCCTTAGTATACATGCAACCATCAAGACAGTCTGGTGGCATGCCAAGAGTAGATTGCTCCATGGTTTTATGGTAGGAATAAGTATCCCCATCAGGCATGCTCTAAATTCAATAAGATTATTTACAAGTTGTTAATCGTTTTTAGTTTTGTTTTTATTTTTTTCTAAAAACAACTGCTTTGTTTTTAGAAAAAAAGCAATTGTCTTCAGAAACGAGTCACTCATTTTGAGCTAAATAAATTAAAAAAAAACTGAAATCTATGACAATTAATTTGAGTTTTTTTTTTCAGGACGATAAGTTTTTTAATGCCATGTTAAGTGATTTTTTTATCATGACAATTAACCTGAATGTTTTCTGACCTCAGAATTTCAGACCAAAAAAATGTATTTTATCTTTAAGAGGTTGTTAACGGTCATTAATGAAGGATTATTTTCAATAAGATATTTTTTGAAAAACTCTCGTTTTTATACAAAGATCATTTTGTTCTTTGGTTTTTTTTCTTCATTTAGCCCAACCAGTTGAAGTTAAAAACAGCTGATCTGAACAAAATGTCTTATTTTGGAAACATCTTTTTAAAGGGACCGTTCACTTATTAGGGTGATTTCAGTGAAAAACTAAATAGCCTATTCTCTACTCATTGGCATTAGTCTTCCTTTTTAAAGATAACTGTGTCTGGAGAACAACAACAAGTCCATTAAGAATTCCAGCAAACAAAAAAAACTTTGTCAGGACACTATTTGATCTTGTGTATCATCATCAGGGATTTTTTTATAATGTATGAGGAAATCTCATTTTTTTCTAAATTTTTCATGATTGCTTTAATTCTAAAAAATTCTTTTAAAACATTTGAAATTTATCTTACATAGTTTTTCAGAGAAAATGTGCTCAGACTGTAGAAGTTGAATAGTTAAGCTGAGAGTGCATTTAGCTTTTTTTCATTTAGTTAGTTTATCATTTGTCAACGATTCTTATAATTCTTTTTATTTCATTTATTCAAAATCAATTTGATTTTGTTTGTTTTCTAAATTAATGTTTTTACAGCAAAATTGATTGTTCAATAAATTTGTTAATTTGTATATAAATATGCATAGTACTCATTTTATGAAGAAAAATCAGTGTTATACAGAAATGATGTTCAGACAACATCATTCTAGTCAAAAGTTATAAAAAAACTCCCAAACACCTAATTTTATAGATAGATTCTTTAATTTTTAGCTATTTATTGATTTAGTGATTTTTATGGATGTTTCTGTTAAAATTTGTGTTTTTTTCTAAAATCATATATTTCAACACTATTTCCTTCACCAGCCAAAAAAACTTTGAGTTGCCCTTTCAGCCGTTTTGAAAATTATTAGATAAAAAAAAAACACCCGCACAACCAACATTTCTATATTACCCTTGACTGACAGCACTCCCCAGCAATGCCAGTGATGAAAATGAACAAAATAGAAAGGGTTATCATCTTGAAGACCTTAAAACATCAAAATAAACTGTTTATTACTTCCAAGGTTCTAATCGAACCAGTTGTGGAATTAAGGAACTTTTAAGGATTTTGTGCTGAAAAGATTTCATAGTTTAAGTGCAAAACTTTTGTGATTTGCATAACTTTTAAAACAGGCAGAATAGTTGGTCAAACTTCATAATTTAATTTAGAAAATGTAGTCAGAGAAAGTAAGAAAAATAGGTTCTACTTCAAATTGAGGGACAATTTAATGCTTAGTAAATGGTTGATTTTTATCTTTTAACTGGTTCGTGGAGTGGAGTAGGTATAAGTAGGCATTATTTATCGGGAAATATTATAGACTTTGGCAGCTATTGTTACAGCTTAAAGTATAAAGATGAGAGTAAGAATTATGTAAATTGCTATACATATAACTTAAAGAACTTACCAGGCTATGATCTATAAGACTTCTGACTCTGAGTATTATTGCTATGAATTATATAGGGGTTGATTATACAAAAACATCTGTTAGTGATGACTAACCAATAGACTTGTATAGAAATGTATTTGAGCCAAATTTAGCCAAAGAACCTTAAAATAATTAGTGAGACGAAGTACATTAAAGTGAGTTTTGTTTTGAATTGCAGATTATACTCAAAAGTAGAGAAGTGAGTTTTGTCTCAAAAACACGGCAATGTTTCAAATTCAGGATATGAACGAAAATGTAATACTGGACATTGTCTCGAAAAAGGTCGAGAGATTTAAACTTAAAATGTCAATTTTGGAACAAATGTCCCGTAAACTTGGAGAGGCTTAAAAGCGTAGAAAATGCCCCAGTTAGGAAATCTTATGCTAAAAGCATTTTAAACCAGAGTTTTTGAGTAAGTTAACTTTCTATACCAGAAAAAATGTATTGAATCCTTCTGCATTCTTTTGTTCCCCCTTTATTATATCACCATTTCTAAAGATCCCAAAACTTCCCAAATAGTTTACTTTGTTTTTGAGGTTTCCTTTCAAATTTCTAATTCTCGTAACATAAAATTCCTGACAAAATTATTAAATTTGTCAAGATTATTTGCAGTAGGATTTAGCGTTTTCCTTAAGTACAGTTTTTGCTTAGTTTTACAAGATTGCAGCAGACCATGTGTCATCTATGGATGTATAAGTGTATTTTTCATTGTTGAAGTATATTGCACAACAGAAAACGCATGAGGAACAAATACATGAGGGACAAATATTGACAAGAGGGCAATCATTTCACAATTATAAATATCATCGAGTTTCTGACATTTACTGCCAGTCGGGTCCCGAGTTGTATAAATTAGGGGTCTGTATTACCAGATAAACTGGATTTAATACAGGTGAAAAATGAAGTTTAAATTCGAAATGAATCCAGCTGAATTGGCAATTAGGCTTGCAGTCAACTTTTACAATCATTCTCAAATCATTTAAGGTTTTTTCTTGATAAAGAAAAAAAAATAGTGCTTTACATTTATAACTAAAAGATGTAAAGTAAGGAATAAAATTGCAAGCCATGGTTTTACTGATTAAGGTATTTTAAATATAAAGTAAATACTATTTTTACCAAAGATTATGGTTTATGTCATAATTCTATGAAAGGATGTATTTAAATTTAGGGTTGGAAATATCAGGCTTAAATAGCTACTAATCCTTGTGCAGTGTACACAGACCTATTTTAATATTTTAACATTTATTTTTGAATTTTAATTTTTACAAAATTTTTTTAAAGAGCTGTGAATTTATTCTATGGTTGTTGTATCTTCTTTTTTGTTGATCATACTTCTGTTTTCTCTTCCTCATTTGTAGATCTACACATTCTAATCTTTTGTAGACAAAGTAATAATGCATTTTGATAAATAAATCTTCTTTTGTGTCTTCTCTAATATAACCCTTATTTGCCAGAGCTGTAGCTCTCTTTTTGGTAATATTCTGTATCATAAAGACTTGAACCCTTTATTCAGAGTCTGACACTTTTAGGGAAATTGATACTCTACTTGGAGTTAAACTTATGAACGAGGGTTCTTTTTTATAGTGACACCTCAGACACCTCAGACACCTCAGACATATCCAACACCTTAACTCCAGGGGAAGGAGGCAGCTGTGGAGCAGGGGGGATTTTGGAGGAGGATGGGAGAGATTGTCAGCCACTACATTTGCAGCTCCAGGTGTACAGCGGAGATCACTGGTGAATTCTGAGATGTTGGATAATTGGCGTTGCTGACGAGCAGACCATGGCGGAGAAACACATGAGAGAGCTGATACCAGGGGAAGATTATCAGTCAGTATATGAAATTTTCGTCCTTCTAACTCAAAGCGGAAATGGCAGAGGGCAAGGAACACTCCTAGGAGTGTTCTATCGAAGGCGGAGTACCTCTGTTGTGTGGCGGAGAGCTTGGCAGAGAAGAAAGCTAGGGGGCGCCAACCACCTGACTCTTTCTGTTGTAGAGCTGCACCCACGTGTGTGTTGGAGGCATCAGTGACGAGTGACACCTTGGCGGATGGAGAAGGATGTGTGAGAGACACGGCGGAAGAAAGGGCGGATTTGGCTCTATCAAAGGCGTCTTGTAACTCCTGGGACCAGTTAAGAACCCGAGGATTTCCGGCTAGGGCATCGGTGAGAGGGCGGAGAGATCTTGCAATCCCAGGTAAAAAACGGTGGTAAAAGTTGATCATGCCTAGGAACCTCTGGAGACCATGTACATCCTGGGAATGTGGTTGGAGGAGTAGGGCATCTACATGACGACGTAGGGGAACGATGCCATCAACAGTAATCTTATGTCCCAGGTACTCAATCTCGTGTTGTACAAAACTACACTTATCCAGGTTCAACACTAATCTGTTCTGAACCAGGAGCTCTAGGACAACCTGGAGATGCTGGATGTGGAGTTTCCTGGTCCAACTGGCAATCAGGACGTCGTCCAAGTAGATGAAAACAAAGGGTAATCCTCTAAAGATCCTGTCCATCAATCGTTGAAACGACTGAGCCGCATTCTTCAGTCCAAACGGCATATATAAAAACTCAAACAATCCAAATAGAGTCACAATGGCAGTTTTACAAATATCTGCCTCACTCATGGGAACCTGATTGTAACCCTTCACTAGGTCGAGTTTGGAGAAAAACTTGCAACCTCTTAAATTGTTTGTAAAATCACGAATGTTAGGGAGAGGATACCAGTCTGGTTTGGTAACATTGTTTAAACGGCGGTAAGCGCCGCAAGGACGCCAGGATCCATCAGATTTTTGAACCATATGTAGAGTTGAGGCCCAAGGACTATCGGAACGACGGATAATCCCCCCCGATTCTAATTTGTGTAACTCAGCTTTAGCTTGAGCTAACTGAACTTGACCCAAATGGCGGGGGCAAGCATATAACGGTTGTCCTTCTGTTTCAATCACATGCTCCACGTTGTGCTCAGGGAGTTTACCANCTGGAGAGAACTTGGAGAGAACCTGAAGAGAATCTGGAGAGAACTTAGAGAGAATCTGGAGAGAACCGGGAGAGAGCTGGAAGAGAACCTTGAGAAAATCTGGAAAGAACCTGGATAGAACCTGGAGAGAACCAGGTGAGCACCCGGAGAAAAATTGGTGAAAAGTTGGAGAGAACCTAGAGAGAACCTGAGAAGAACCTGAAGAGAACCTGGAGAGAACATGGAGAGAACCCGGAGAGAACCTGGAGAGACCCTTGAGAGAAACTTGAGAGAACCTGGAGAGAACCTCGGGAGAACCTGTAGAGAACCTGGAAAGAACCTTGAGAGAACCGGAAAAGAACCTGAAAAGAACCTAAAGAGAACCTGTAGAGAATCTGGAGAGAACCTGGAGATAATCTGGAGAGAACCTGGAGAGAACCTGAGGAGAAGTTTTGAAAAATGGAATCGGGATCAAAAATAGGAGGAAACAGATTTCGCGAAATGTTAAACCAAATTTACTTAATCTGACTTTACAAAAACAGATCCAAGATTTGCGGATATCAGTTTAAAAAAAATAGAAACCGATAAACAATTTATAACTTTGAATATGAGCTTGTAAAATTTTAAAGAAGCACTTACAGGACAAATTATTCTTCGACTTAATTAAATAAACTTACGAACTCACCAGACTTTCTTGAAAGAAATATTCTTCGACTTAATTATATAAGCTTACGAACTCACCAGACTTTCTTGAAAGAAATTGCGTTTTTAGCACTAACTCTGATTTTCTAATCCCTAAAACTTTGCAACTTAGCCTTATGTTTGTTTAAGGAAGTAAACCAAAGATAGATATACAAGAATTTGTAAACGCCACCCCCCCCCCCCCATCCTAGAAGTAAGCCTTTGCCACAAACTCTGATTTTCTAAGTCTTCTAACATTGCAACAATGCAATGTCGCAGACCTTATAGCTATTTTAAACTATGAATTCTGTCATATCAAATAATCTAAATTTAAAATATGTAAGGTTTTCAGGCTGCAAAGCAATTCTTATTAAACCAAATGCTAAAAATAATGAGTAAAAATATCATTTCGTCCCATGATGGTTAGAAGTCATGTAATGAATTCTGTAAACATGCTAGTAATTTCTGATTTATCTATGTTCGTTTATCTATCTTATCATGTTTCATGCTGACCCTTAATGACCAGTACGGTCAGTTTAAATTCACCGGTATATAAATAAATTTAGTTCAATAGAATTCTTTGATTTATACAGACGTATATAGAGCCTAGAGTTTGGCTAAGAATAGAGGGCCTTGAGTTTTGGCTAGAGATAGAGATAAGTGTGTTCTCTTTAGACTTTGAGTATAGTAATCGCGTCTAGATTTGTTACAGTCAGTCTTTGCCACAAACTAGAATTTTGTAATTTTTGCAATTTGACTTTTTGATTTGATAAAGAATGCGAAATATCCACAAAAATACAGAAAAAGGAAAAAAGGATTTGCCGGAGAACTTTACCTGGATTTTTGATTGAAAGTAATCATGATATTGATAACAATTCTTTTTAAAAGACAAAAATGATTAATTATATAAATATTTAGCTTAGTAATATATAACATCTCAAATTAATCGTCAAACAAACAGAACAACTTAGAGCAAAATAAAGAGAATATTTAATTTTACCATTAAAAGACTGCTGCTTATAATGAAAATACGTGTATACAGGGTTACCAACAAAAAATGAGCATTGAGAGACGACGTACTTTACAGAACTTTTGAGAAGTTTTACTTGCAGTCTGTAAATTTGTTTTTTTTCTTAGATAAGTAATTTAGTAAACTATTTAAAGACTTTAATTGGTTCAGATACAAGACAAAATTTCCAAGATCTAATAAGAGGTCATTATTTAATTGTCTTATTCTTTGTAAATGTACAAGTCTTCTCCAAGTAAACTTTGAAGATATATTGACAACATTTTATTTATAATGAATTGAGGAAAAATTTTGCACAAAAATGTTAAAGTCAGACCATGGGCTTTCCAAAATGTGGTCTACTCTCAGTGAATTTAGGATCATTTTGGTTGTATCAAATAACACAAGAGACTGGAGCTGAGGAAGAGACAGAAGCAATGGATGAAGGGACGGGAGCGGAGGAGGAGACTGAAGCAAAGGAAGAGACTGAAGAAAAGGATGAGACTGAGGCGAAGGATGAGACTGAGGCAAAGGACGAGACTGAAGCGAAGGATGAGACTGAAGCGAAGGATGAGACTGAAGAGAAGAAAGAACTCGAATCAGATGAGGAAGAGACTGAAGCAGGGAGAGCGACCAAAGTAGGAGAAGAGACCGAAGAGAAGGAAGAGACTGAAGTAAAAGAGACCGAAGAGAATGAAGAGACCGAAGAGAAGGAACAGACTGAAGAGAAGGAAGAGACTGAAGCAAAGGAAGAGACCGAAGAGAAAGAAAAGACTGAAACGATTGAAGAGGCAAGGCAGATTAAACAGGCGGGAAATGTTAACAAAACTCAGAATGAAAGGCCACCTAGGTTGTATCACCATAATTTCTTTAAGTGCATATGGATTATTGAATATTTGATAGGGGATGGTAGAGATGGCATATTTGATGTGGGGGGGTGTGTGCCTGCCTTCATTTTTAGTTCAAATCTTCCAATTTTTTGGCTGCACGCCTAATTAGTGATCGAAATTCCTAAAATAAAATTAACTTTTAATGACATATATTGATCTCTAATGACCTAATAGGCCTCCAAAAATGGAAATGTTTTAACTATGGCTTAATGCATAACGAACGAAAGCTAAGAACCCAGGATATTATTTATTTGAGTTAATTGATGTAACAAAGTTAAAGAGTCGAAAGCTCTTCAATTTTTTCTGGGTTTAACTATACTTTTATTATTAAAATAACACTCTTTCGTAGTTGGAGGGTATTTCTGAGATCAGGGATCTTTATTTTTTGGATTTCCCTGAAAAATGGTGTATTTTAAGGCAATCTTATCATGACTTTTAGTTGGTTTTTACCTAAAGATTCATAAATGTTGCACAAATAATCATCTTATTCACAAATTCAGCTGTAAAAATATGATTTACTGCTTCGTTCAATAATTAACAAAACTGCGGGAAAATAAATGGTTTCATTGAGGGGTGGTGGGGGTGAAAATGAATTTTCCCTTAAATATACATACACCCCAACATACTTGACATTACTTGGAAAAGATCAAATTTGTTATCGTGATACAACCTACAGGAAGCGAAGCCTATGCTATAAATATAAATAATTCATCAAATTAATTCATATAAATAATAATCTGACTCATTACATTTTTTAATACACGTTACTGTTTTGTAAATTGTAAATTGTAAATTTATGTGTTTTATGTTGATTATAGCATTGGACAATTTAATAAAAATAATCAGAAACATGTACTCCAGAATTTTTTTAATACGTGTTATTTTGTCTTGTTGCTTCTTTGCACGGCGTTAGAAACTTATGATTTTTTAAAATAATATCAAAGTTGTTAAATCAAATCAAAATTTTGTAAGAGTTAAACTGATAAATTTGAGTTAGTTCTCTTTACTGAAAACTTATAAATAAGATTTTCAATAGTCAGATAGCTTATAGATCAAAGAAATAAACAATTTGTAATATTAAAAGCACTGTATACTTTAAACCTTTTTCTTAAAAATGCGTGCAACCAATAATTTTTTTTCAATTCAAACAATTTATACTCAGGTCTATTTTTTTGTGAAACTTGAATTGAGAAAATAATCAATCTTTAAATAGAAATCTAGATTAAGATTTATTCCAGAGCATACAAAGCTTTTAAGGGTACAGTTGTAGGTGTAATTTTAATGACCAAGGTCAAAAGAAATCAAATATTAAATCTAACTTTAATTCTACTGTTTTTCATTCCCATGTAGATTTTTTTGGCACAGCCACTTTTGTTCAAAAAGTTTTAACTAAAATTCAATTGGCAAACATTTAAGGACTAGAAGTTGTTTTCCTGAGAGTATTATTAACTAAATTACCTCCTATATTTAGTATCGTTAAAATGGTTAAACAATTGGACTGATAAACCTGAGGAAATAGGAAGTTGATATTTAGGCAAAGCAACTTTTTGTAAGTGAAATGATATATTGTGTGTATTGCCTTCTGAGACACTCCTTAAAATGGGGGAATGCAGGCAGCCATAAGCCACAACATTTTCCCTATATTACCATATTTCGTTTTCCGGCAAATATAGCCACAACCTTTTGGTCTTCAATGTCAAAAGATTTTATTATTTTGGCAATTATTATGTTTTCAAATGGTAAAAATATTGCCTTGAAATGAACTTAAAAAATCCAACAACGTCAAATATATTTACAAGATCTTTATATTTAGATTATTTTTATAAGGGGTATAAAAAGNGTTAACAGCGATATTCTAACTGATTTAAATCTAATAATATCAAATGGAGTCTTATCTTGTGAAGAACTAAAAATTACAATATTTTTAGGCTGTAGCAATCCTGTAACTTTTAATATCGAAACTACCAACATTATTTGCTATATAGTTATGTACTATATATTTTCTACAAGGAATAACAGACGAGTATACAATACTTCCAGATTAAAGCAATTTATTTTCTACCACACTTCCAGAATTAACGAACCCTTGTTTGTTGAATATGGAGATAGAACCTAAAATTATGTTTACTTGCAATATATAGTAATAACTTTATTGACACCTCGCGGTTGGCATTAATAATTGCAACTACCATAATAAAGGTATTGCCAAGCCAAACCGCGACGTCGCCGCACAAGGCAATTCAGCCATCTTGTGTGGATTTAAAGAAAGAAAATTTATACAGTTTGCAGTGTAAACTTCATTCTTTTCATATTAGTATAAAGCAACCAACAATGTTTCAATGTGAGCCGAAACCTGAAATATTCTTCACGGCAATGAATAGTATCATCGCTACTAATTTTTACATTTACAAAACCCGTGGAAGAAAGCATAGCCCGATTAACAATATAGTGAATTTAATAATTATATGCAACATTCCGTTAGGCGGGTTTATTTTTAGAATAAATAAAGCAGCTCAAAATCTAAATTGTCGCCTACATGATTATAACTGCATTCTCCCAATGAGTGCGGGGAAAAATATAACAGCTGATTCCGCGCAGGAATCGCAAGATAAAACTATAATACAGTGTCATAACCGTAAATGGATAAAAATACAAAAAAACGTGAACTATACTTTACTGTGCAATTACACTCTGAAATTCTACGATAATATATTTTTTCTTTATTTTTTCTTTTTCTCTCGTCACGAGAAAAAACAAAACTCTAGAATCTTAACTATTCTAAAAGACAAAACATTAAATGTTTTACAGCAGGAAATAATCGGTTTCGGATGGAGAATATTTTTTGAGATTGTCTTATTAATATTATCCTTATATTTGATTATTTCAGATACTTATCTTTGCGAAATGTCTGATATTGAAACCATGGATTATGAAGAGGAGGTGACCCTAAAGTCCCCTGCCAGTGAGACGGAGGAGTACGACAGGGATTTCCCCGTCTTCAGCGAGCGTCATGGGAAGCAGGTAGGACGGGGTTTTATTGATGATTCACTCCTAGATATGGATGAACAGGGCAATTTAATGTCTAGAGATGGTTCTATTATTGACGGGGAGGGAGAGGCTAAACCTGTTGAGGGTGATATCAATCCCCCCAACGACCCAAGTTTATCAGTAAAAGAAGTAGCACCAATGTTATCCGATAATCAAACTATAGATCTTGTGAAAGGGGAGGGCCATGAGAAAGCAAGGGAATCTGTTGATAATGAAAGGGGAGGGGTTTCAGTTCAATTTCCGGTCATGAGGCATCAGCCTGAGTCTGAGGGTAACACATTGCCTAAGCATGCAATGCCTTACCTCACGATTCGTCAAAAATTAGAGAAGGTTAAGCTCGTGCGGTCGGCTAAAATTCATAAAATCCCATCAAAAAGTGTCCCCTTAGTCCCTGATTCTTACCCCAAATCATCCCTGGTTATGTGCAACGATGGTAAAAAGGCGCTCAGTTTCCGCGTACCGGTACGCAATCCCAAACAACCCCCTTTTTACCCTTCCTATGTAAAAATTCTGGGTGGAACTGTGGGTTTACCAAACTTTTTCTGTAAAGTCGGATACACCATTACGTTTGATACAAACAGAAAGTGTAGAATCTGCAGTTATGAACATGACATCTTCCCCAAAGACAATGTCGGCGTTTTAATACTGGGGGACGCATACACCACTCCCATTGTGGGAGAAAATGGCAGGTGTATTCCGGTTTTTAGGTTGGAGAATCCGAGTTTCATCCAGATTGGTGATAAAATCAAATATCTTCTAAGAGCGCGAGTAGACCATAATGGTCAGTCCCTTGCCCATCCTAATATAATTATCATTTCAATTCTTTCATATCTGGGGGTGGTAGGACCTACTTAATACGTTGAAGAACTAATTGGTTTCCAAAAATGGATACAAAATTATATATCCTACGGAAAAGACTTCGAAACTAGGAACACCAAGGTAGTCATACCCTATAATGGAAACGTCGAAGTCTACGAGGGTTTCTCTCTCTTTGCAGCAGGCGATTATGGCTTGTCAGAATCATATGCAGTTGTAAACAGATCCTTGGATATACATAGTGCTCTAAATCCAAACAACAATATCGGGATTTTTTATAATTCATTCAAGGAAACCATGTCCGAAATTAATCAAGACCCCCCCAAAACTGCACCGATTCCGTACGTAAACATAAGCCCTGCAGAGCCTGATTTCTCAGTGTACGAGGAGGGTGAGTTACATCTTGGTGTTCCAGTTGATAAAGTTGAAACTGATGGGTCATTGTCCGGGGCGGTTTTAAACGGTTTTTACAAAAAAATTGTCAACCAAATCCGAACAAGATATTCCAAGTTGAAGCTTGAGAATCATTATAATAACCTACCACCCACATCCTACTTTGATCCTGTAACCCCAGCCGAATTAGAAAACCTCTCCATGTTAGAAAACTTTCACCCGGACTCCGGTGAACAAAGTCCAAGAGTTTTTGTAATTGGGCATTCGAATATGCGACGCCTTTCTAGGGAGCTCAAACATGTAATAGTAGGTGAAGTTATTTTTGTCAAGTATACACCTAAACTTAATTCATCCAAAGAAGAAATTAATTCGTTCTTTGATGAGCTTAACCTTCAGAAAAATGACATTGTGTGTTTTTCGGGGTTCGGTAACTATATCATTCAGGGAACTACTCACGTACTGTACCAGGGCGTCAAGCCTACTGGTGCACCTGCGCAGCATGTGGCCGAACAACTACCCCGAGGTACCGTACACCACCTAATTGGTGTTGCCCCATATGATGCCTCATACATAGACCGAATTGTACAACACAATAACCTCATAATGGAGGGCAGATTTGATTATAGGACGGCTAGGTTTGTACTTATCCCCCCCCTTCCTAGGTATCTTGAAAAATGTTGCACCACACAGGGCCATTTTGATACATATTTTAACGGTGGGGATTTATGCGCTGAAATCCTAAGATTGGGGGTATACTTATCCCGGCTACCATGCAATCGTTTTGCAGTTTGCATCACACCTGTAGATATTTGTCCTCGAGACACATGGGGGATCCGTGGTGAGATGCTCTCTAGTGATAGAGTCCATCTTACTGATAAGGGTTTTAAGATACTAAGTGGGATCGCACACAGGGGCGTTTTGTGCGTTATGAACCCTCCCCCAGCTTCCGAACCCGCGGTCAAGATAGAACAACTCATTCCGACCAGCCTAAGTTTCTCCGAATGGGTGGTACTCTTCAGAGAGAACTGTGGATATGATACTATTATGTCGACTAGTTGCGCGAAGCGTCCCAACATATTCAGTGGGGCAAAACCTAATGCTAAAAAAAGATAAGGTTAACCCTCATATCTAGGACAAGAATTAATATAAAACCCTTGTCTTGCAGTGTATAACCTGGCTCTTGTTGAGAGGATGGGGGAACCACCCTGTCTTGCTTCAAAGTTGAACACCACTTCCTCTTCCCCCCCCCCCCTCCCGGAATTTTCTTTTCTTTTTTATGTTTGCATTTCTTTCTCTTTTCTAAAAGAAAAATAATACAAAAAAAATTTACCATTTTTACTTTTTAAATTATTACAAAATTCAAAATCAAAAAAAAATGCTTCCGGGAGGATCAACCAGATATTACAAACCAATTTATTCCTTTTGCCTTAACATTTCAACTATCTCAAACCTGAGGAGTGAATTGTGGCTAAATAGCTTGAGGAAAACGGTAAGAATAAAACCTCACGCAATAGAGTTTCCTTCAAAAAAAAAAGATTTTTTTTTCGACCTAGTTTACTTTCTTTTTCATGATAAATTCGCCCAAAAATAAAATGTCCAACTTTATATCTATCTTATCTATACAGAGATAAAGAGCATGTACATGAATAGACTGCAGTAGACTATAATTTAATTTTACTCTTTGATAGTATTTCAAGAATCTCTACTATCTTCTTACTCAAAATCGAAAATCGGATTTAAAGTTTTCAACTGTCAAAATTTAACTTACTTACTCTTTGATAATATTTCAAGAATCCTTACTGTCTTCCCAACTGAAAATCGAAAATCAGATTAAAAAGTTCTCACTGTCAAAATCTAATTTTATTACTCTTTCACTGTCAAAAATTTAAACTGGATTATCATGTTTCTGAAATTTAAACTTGAAGTGATTTAATATCAAGTATATGTAATTAAAATACTTTGTTAAAGCCCTAAATCAAACGGCCCTAATTGCAAAAATTCAAGTTTTTCTTTATGCTTAGTTAAACAGAAACCTGGACCCAACTGACAGCCAGACGGATCCCGGATCTGGTGATCACGGATCTACACCTCACAACTGATATATAACGTTAAACTGAAACCTGGAAGATAAATGACTACGAGAATGACCTCGGATCTGGCAAACCTCAGAGGATCTGGCGGACCTCATAGCCGCACCTCTCAACGAAAAATAACGGTAAAAAACATATTTCCACAAGCCTGGCAGATTCTTATCACTGAATTTTAAATTTTAAATCTTTTTTAGACAGAGAACAGGGGCGTGCACATGGATCACATTGGACTGTAAAGGTTTAAACCCTATTGAACCAAAACTAATGTACTTGCTAAGAAAAAAAATTTTCAAGATTTTAAATTATCCTCAAAAATTAAAATCAACTTAAAGTCTACAATGTCAATTTTATGAATTTAATTTTTAAAAAAATGTTTTTTTTATTTTTGATTTTTGCTATTTTTGATATTTCTGATATAAAAGTTTACTACTGGAACCTACAAACTTAATGACCCCACTTTAAAAACTCGAAATTTAACCCTATTTAATCGAAGTTAAAAAAACCTTGTTTTTCATTTGCTATAAGTCCTGCTTTACACAGGTTAATATCATTTTTGTGCGACCTCAATCTTTCTATTCACCTAATTATTTAATTAATTCTAATTTAATAACCTCTTTTTGTATTACTAACATACTTTTCTGTATAAATGACCTGAATATTTAAATTAAACATCATTTTCTTCCCCAAATAAGTAATGCTACAAAAATCGTAAATATTCAGAAGTATATATCTCTCAGCAAAATCTGGTCGTATTAAAACGGCCTCGCAAAGATCTTATATATCCAACCTTAGCCTTTTCTTTTTTTCCAATTTAGTACTTACAATTAATTTTTGTTTTAATTAAAAACTATTTATTGATAATGTTCCGAAAAATATCTCTAAATAAAGAGGACTTGAGCTAAGATCTGAATTTTTCTCCTCACTCAGAATTTTCTTTTTAAAGAAATTAATTTTCTCCTTTACTAATTTAGTCTGAGGGAACTGTAACGCCTCCCGAACTGGCTAGCATTGATACAAAAATTTTATTTAAAATGTATCCGTAAATTAACTCCTATATAATTCTCACAAAATATATGTAAACAAGTGTGATATAAAACTGTCTTATTTAATCCATGTGAACTATTTTGTACAATTTTAAATAATCTCGATACGGAGATAATAAATATCTAGATCACAAAAAAAAAGGAATTCAAGTTTTAAACAGATCAAATTCAGCAGATACGCAACAAATCTCAAAATTAAGATAACCCTGAGGAATTTTAGCTTAGGTACGCTCTTATTAGAATTTGAATATATTACAGAATTTCCACCAATGGCAGTGCAGATCATTGTCACGTGATACAGACTGTATATTCCTATACCACATCTCATATATATAAGTTTTGGTATACCGTTGGCACAATTTTGTATAAGTTTCTCGAGACAGGAACATCAGAGTCCATGTAAACAAAAACTTCTATAATTTATTTTTATTTTGTTTAGAAAGCAGAAGATGTTCTCTAAACCTACAATATCTCTGACAGAGATTTCTACACTTGAAGACGGTATTGGATACGTATAAATTTATTTTTATCCATTCTTTTATGTTTTTTTCTTTCTATTTTTCTATTTTTCTACTCATTCATGCATAATCTATCTACACTATCTATATATATCTATATATCTATATTATCTATAAATAAAAAATTGTTTGTCAATTATCCTAAATCTATTTATCTATGTTGCATCATAATTTATCTTTCTATCCATGCATTTATCTATTTATTTATCTATGTTGCATCATAATTTATCTTTCTAACCATGCATTTATCTATTTATTTATGTTGCATCATAATTTATCTTTCTGTCCATGCATTTATCTATCTATCTATGTTCATTTATTTATCTTTTNCCCCCCCCCAAAAAAAAAAAAAAAAAATTGAACAAAATTCTAATTTCCAAAGGAATTGAGTCTTTGCCACAAACTCAAAGGACTGAAAATGAGAGAACAATTTTAACGGGTATTTCAGGTCATTTATTCAATTCATTTTTCGTTGTACCTTTCATCCCTTGATGCTTTTATTTCATATCAGGAATTTCCTTACGGGGGCCGCCCCCCCCCCCTAGATCTATTCATCTAGAAATTTAAATATATACATTATTTATAAAGTCGTAATCTCTTTATTGTTTGTTTGTATGTCTGATCATTACTCAGGAACCCCTAGATAGATTTGCCTCTAACTAATTGAGTCTTTGCAACAAACTCTGATTTTCGAATCTCTATATATTTGCAAACCTTAGATATTTCAAACATGGAGCCCTGATAGATTAAATGATGTAAATTTGAAATATCACAGGTTTACACCATCATGTTGCAAAGATATGGTAATATAATTTGAGTTAGTGGCCAAACAATCAATTCCTTTAGATTGGGGAACTCGGTGGAACAAGGGGAATGTTCTTAGCTTGTTATTAACAAATTTTAGTTGAGTTGGTTGGATTTTATTGCGAAAGTTTACTTTCCAGGCAAAGGCTTGGTTCCTAGAATTGAATAAGAGTCCTTTTAACGTAAATTTGTATCCATGGACTTAAAAATACTAATTTAGAAATAGGAGGATGGATTGAAAAGATAAAAGCTTCGTTGCTCGGTCTCTGGAAGTATGAACAGATCACCAGGAAAATATCTTAATACAGAACCAGTTTTTTATCAGAATACCTAACAAAAATATCTTTTTTTTTGCCTTTTACCCTTCATGTCAACTAACACTATTATTGTGTACCCATCTAAGCAAAACCTTTAAATATACCTGTAAACATACCTTACAGACTTTAAATAAACTTATTTTACTTTTGGGACCCCTTCATCTATACTTTTATCTTGTAAAATTACTTTTTTTAAATAGATAAATCTCTAGGTTAAAGTTAAGACATTCTTTGACTTGAGTGGAATGATGACCATCTGCAGAATATTCAGAGACTTTAAATCTCTTCTCTAACAATCAAACAATTTTGCGGATAAATCAGAAATAACAAGTTTTTTTCACAAATTGGTAGCATTTTCATTTTGTTTTTTGTAATTGTTTGAAAATGTGTTTAATTTTAATCAGGAAAAATGACAAATAAAAAATTGTGAAAGCTTTATTAATTGCTGGCTCTAAGGAATAGGAAGTTGATTGTTAAAGTTCATTAAACGTTGCAATAAGATATCTATGTAACGTTACCTTTTTGTTGCGCTTTAAACTCTGGCAAAAATTTCCTAATAAAAGCCAGAAAATCAACATAATTGTATGAACATTTATTAAGTATAGTAAGTTATATAATTCTATACATAGTTATAGTAAACATTATTGTAAAATGTGTTGAATAGCTCCTCTGCTATAGTTCTGACCAGTGTTCAGTGAAATAGTTATGCATTCCAAAACATTATTGTAAAATGTGTTGAATAGCTCCTCTGCTATAGTTCTGATCAGTGTTCAGTGAAATAGTTATGCATTCCAAAACATTATTGTAAAATGTGTTGAATAGCTCCTCTGCTATAGTTCTGATCAGTGTTCAGTGAAATAGTTATGCATTCCAAAAATTTCATCTTCATATCTTGAATAACTTCTAAAGTGAACATGCAGCCACAAACAATTCAGGTTTGTGTTTATGTACAAATGCATCAAGATATTTGCCAATCCTTCTACTCTCAGTCATGTATATAAGATGAATATTGTTAGCAATTAACTCTTCTATTTCATCATAACTAGCCTTGAACACCACACCTCCCTTTTGCGCTATAAAACTCCGAACTGAACAATCTGGTTCTAGTTTTTCCTCTAAAGGTGGAAGTCTCTGTCTTCTCAGTTCATCCTGGAATAGTTTAACTGCTCTATCAGCTGAACTAGTTCCATCTCGGGCTAAAACATATTTCTGAACCTTTTTCTCTAGGAGTAATTCCACAAGCTTTCTGTATAAAGTCGGATTATGCAGCTGTGCTTTAATTGTAAAATAACCTTGACCAGACTCTTTTATACTAAGAGGCTCGCTATGCTCCATATATGGAACTATAAGATATGTAGTACCGCGAAGAATTCTGGAATCTTGGTCAAATGTAAACTTTTTAAGAAAGACAATCAAGGTAGTACACTCAATTCCTTTTGCACGATTATAATTCGTGATTAGACATCCTTCTTTTGTCTCACCAAACTCAGCAAGATTCTTCTCATCTCCCCTTTTATTGTACATGAATTGTTTTATTTTCTTTCTGTTAAGTTCCTCAAGAAACCTGTCGGGGTCAAAACCGTTATCTTTAAGACAAACAAACTTTCTACTCCTTTGACAAACCTCATCAAGTATTTTACTGTAAAAGTCATCTCCAGTATTGAGAATACAAACTGGTGAAAGGCCCAGAACTGTGGTCGGTGAAGCACCATTCATTTGATTCTGACTAATCGCTTGCTCATAGCCATAAATTGAGGCAGTGTTTCTCATAACACTTTTTAAGTGTAAACAAGTATATCCTTGATCTTTGAACTTCTCTGTTTTTATATTGCAGCGAGGATGCAAGGAAATAATGATCTCTGCAGTTTCAGTCTTAGCTGAGACCATACCATCATCATTAGTTGTTTCCAGTGATATCTCATCACTATCAGTTATGAAGTCATTTTTAGCTTTAGAATCTGTAAATATCTGAGCCAAGGAACTTGTTGCACTTAACAACAGATGGCTATAATATTCCATATCATCCCCATATTCATCCAAAATAAAGGATAGATTTTCCTCCAGTTTCAGTTTCTGGATAAATCTATCAAGCACATCATAGAAATTCTCCAATTTAACATCAACCTTCATGAAACGGCAAATTTCCAGTGCACTGTAAAACTTACAGTTAAGTCCAATTTGTTCAATATTTTTTCTCATAAGAACTTCATAAATCGGAGGAAGTTCTATGTAACCTTCATTGGGGAGCAGGCAGGATATGAAAACAACCTTTTGCCCTTTATCTGACAAGAACCTCATTTTTTCAGTCAGCAACAGAGTTTTTCCTAAATTAAATAATTAACAATTTCCATCCAAGTGATTTTTCTGTGATACAGAAATTAAAAGATATATTAGAATTAGAATTAATTTATGATCAATCATACAAACTTTACAAAAAACGAGGAAAAATAATTGTTTACCACTTCCAAATTCCCCAGATATGATACATCTATGAACATCTTGAAATAAGAACTGTGCTTGATCCTGGTTCCAGAAGAGTATGCTGTTCAAGGAACCAACAGGAGCTCCCTTCAAACTAGAAAACGTAACTGAGGTTTTTGAGGAAACTGGATTGGTAGACACTCCAGCACTTATATCTGGTGTTTCTGCTCCAACAAGCTTGAGTTGAGTCTCCTGAATCAAATCCTTTAAAGAAAGTGACATTGTTGATGTTGGCTTGGCACAGTTTGCTGAAGCTAAAAGAATCTTAACTAGTTTCACATAAGATTCATCAACTTTGACCCTGTCACCCAACTTCCCTTTAAGCAAATCCTCCAAGTTGCTGTAAATATTCAACTCTTGCTTTGAAATGATCAATCCTTTTGGGTTTCCAGCTAGAAATGATTCCCATCCTTTTACCTAAAATATTTCAGTTCAAATGCAAAAAATGTAGAATTTAATTAAAGTTTGTTAATTCTTAGGAAACATATCACCTTGGTTTCGTTATCAGCCATAGGAAAAGCTCCAACAGGTATATATTCCCAGTCTTTGTACTCATCGCCTCCAATTGCATCTAGAACTTCATCATAAAATTTTTTTCCTTTCTTTAACTGTTCAACCCATCCTTTTCCTCCTCTGTTACCTGCCTTGACCTCAATGTGGACAAACTTCTTAAATTCAGCAAAGATGAAAAAGAAATCAAATTCTTGGTTATCTTTAACTTCAACATCTTCTGTACCAGTAAACTGGCGAAACATCTTTACACGGTAGTTATGAAGGAGAGCTGTTGTTGTTTTTAAATTTCGTTGTAGATATTTCCAAACGTCATATTCCGCATCAAATCCTGCATAATGAGTGAGAAATATATCAAACAGGGTCTTTTCCTCCTTAGACAATGATTGTGATGTTTCTTCTAATATTGTTGTATCAGTTGGACACTGTGTTTCAAGTTCTAAATCTATTTTTTCATTTGGAAATCTGACACTGACTTGAGTGAGGTCTGATGGAAGATATTGGTCTGCAAACCAGTTAGCAACTTCCAGAAGTGTACACTCCTGTATGTCTCCCCCTCCTCTAAGATGTTGAACTCTTCTCTCTACCAATGAAGGCATAATGTTGGGAACTGTTCAGTGATGTTTACAAATCCATTTTGGCCACTGAAACATTTTGAAAATTTGTATAACATTTTCATTAAGAATTTTCTCTTTTTGTTTGAAGAAAATTTGTCTAGTTTCTAATACAGGGTGTCTCTGAGTTAAAATTCTCAATTCTATCAATTTAAATTTAATTTTTTTTGAAAATCTTTAGAAAAGAGACCGAACACATTTTCGAATATTAGACCTACTTTTAAAGGTTTAAACGGCATTTAAGAGACACCCTGAACATATTGGGGAATTATCAAATAATGTAGTCAATTAGTTTTACACATAAGATCCATAATTGTTCTTCATTTTATGTATATCTGTAAATCTCTAATTTTGAATTGTTTTAATGTACAGGATTACAACTTACAGAACTTTTGTGAGGTAGAATTATTAAAGTCCTCCTGATCTGTAATTATTACAACTTTTGCTCGTTTTCACAAGAAAAAAATCATAAAGTTGGAAAAGACTGCTGTTGCAGCTTTATCTATATCATCTATATAGTTTTAGAAGTTCAATTTATTCTTTGAAATAATTTATGAACATTCTTTAAGTAGGGAGTAATTAGTTCACTTATTATAGAATTGCCTAGATATATTCTAGATTTCTAGATTATTCACCTTTTTTAAAAACTGAATTATTTTTCTTCTGTTTTCTCCTTTATCTTTGTTTAAGAACTAATGAAACAATAGTATCCAATAAACGTCAAAACGTCTGAACTGATCGGGCCCAAATTTGTTATGAGCCCTTGCTTGACCCCAGGGAAGGTTTATGGATGATTGAATTTTCACAAATATGCCTCTAACAAAATTCGATTTTTTGTTTGACAATGTATTCAAAGAGAAGATGTTCACAATTGAAATAGGAGATCCAAATTTTTTTTATAATTATAATTTTCTAAAACGGAGAAAAGTTTCGCAAACCATTTTTAAAAATGCATTAAAAAATCTAGTTAATATTTGATGCAGGTAAGTTGATCCTGGAGAAGATTGTTGATCATATTCAACAAGTATCTGACTGTTTAAACAACAGCAAGGTAAATAGTTTAAATCTCTTTTTACAGGATTTTATTTTCTTAAAAATTTGAATTCATCATTTTTTATTCCACAGTAGGGGCGAATGTCATGAAAGTCCATTATGGCGTTTATAAGATTGAAGCAAAATAACAAGCAGACAAGGCACACATAATTACTATCTGTACATCTAAAGTAGTAATCTTTGTTTGTCTGTACGTCTGTTTGTTTGTAAATCCGATAATAGTTCATGAAGCCCTTTAGTCAATTTGCCTTAAATGTTGATTTGGAAGTTGGTAGAACCTGCAGGAATGTTTTTAGATTGGTTTTAGAGTTTAAAGTTGGCTTTTAACTGGAAATGCTGGGTTTCAAAGTAGTCTATATAAAAAATATATGATTATGTTGCGTATAGCCGGCCAAACGGACTGAAATTTTGTGTGGACACTCATGGGTAGCCTCGGAGTGTCTAAAAAAAATCAAAAAATTTGTTTTCAACATTTTTTTTCTTCAATTTTTTTTTTACATTTTTTCCACGGGCAACGCCGGGTCCTCCAGCTGGTATAGAATATGGATGGATCTTGTATACAAATATATACAATATTTAAACTTTTAATTAATATATTCTAGATGTTTGAGGAATCTGCCATTCAAGTATTTTCACATCTAGAAGTTCTCTTTCAATCAGTTTGGCCCAGGTTCTTTCTTTTTAGGAATTAAGCCTTTGCAACAAACTCTGATTTTTTAAAACTCACATCTTTGCAATCCAATGTCAAAGGGTTTACACCATCAAGTTGCAAAGATATAGATCTTTCAAAATTTTAGTTGGAAGCAAAAACTTTCTTTACACCAAAGCAAGAATGTTGTGATTTTAAATGACCCTCCATTGAAAGAGTGGCACACCCGATTCACAATGTGGAAGATATCGTCGTTTTTAATTCTGACCATTTCATCCAATACTTCTTCTGCAACAGAAATCCGCAATTCAGTAATATAGAGAAACCATATTGGAAAGTGATTAATTTTTCAGAAGAAAAACATGGATATCTCATGCATTATTGTTCCGACAAATCTTTGTATTCAAACGGACATGTCAATCTATAAACTAATTGAAACCATTTTTTAGTTTTCATAAAACAGTGCTTCCAGAACCTCATATTCTTCCAAAAAAGAAGTAAGTATTTGTTATGATCAAAGATATTAGGGATAAAATATTAATTTTGTTAAGGAAAAATGGAAGGGGGTATAGGTTGCAACCTTAACATTATAAGGAGTTTTTCGCGACCTATATGAGTTTGATGTTACTGTCTCGAGAAATTGATACATGTGGCAACGTTATACCAGAACTTGTGTATATGAGATGTTGTATTATAGGAATTAAAGTCGGGTTTTTCGCCCCTGTAATCCCATTTAGTAAATCTCAATTGCAAACCCTCAGAAATGAGATTGGATCTTTTGTGCGAGGGAGTATGAAAACTACAATAAACACGGTATATAATGCAATACATCAAGGAGGCTTAGGAATGATTGAGATTGAATCCTACATAAACGCGATCAAGGTTGGGTTTTTTAGGAAATCAATCAATAATGACGATTTTTGGGCAAAAGAAATTCAAAGTTTCAGAATATCTGAAGATTTCCCGTTTCATTTTAAAAACTCAATAGCAACGAACACTCCTTGTGGAGAATTATCAGTTTGTGTTAGGACATTTTGTAATGTTTTCTGGTCGACGAATGGTAATTTTCTTGACATGAGAATCTTTGATAATGACATAGCAAGATTGGAGTCTGGTGAGAAATTAAATATAAATCATTTCAGAGAAAATCTTACACCGGGAGAATTCTGAGCGATTTATCAAGTTTAGGATAAAAACAAGCGAAAAAAGTAAAAAAAATTGAAAATTATTTTTTGTTAAAAAATTCAGTAAATTTTTAAGAAATAACCTGGATCTGGATCCATTTTTTTCCAGTGCGAATCCAGGATTCGGATCCGGATCCGCATTATAATTAAATGGATCCTAAGCACTGTTTATTTATAGTTTCACTGTTCAATCTTGTTCTGGATCTGATAGATTTTTGATTATATTATTTTTAATATTTGTCATTTTTGTTTTCTAACCTGACAAATGTCTATATTAGACATTGATTAAATTGTTTGATGAACCTCATAAACCCAAATTATTGTAATGACTTGCTTTTCATATTATTGTGATTTCATATTGTGTCTTCTTATGTCTATATGATTTTTTTACTCTATTTATTTAAATCTTACAACATAAATTCAAGTGAAGGGTTGGAGTTTTTTGTTAAGCAACTCTTACATATAGAATACAAAATGGGATCAATAATCTTAAAACTTGAAATTCCTTTGATAACTTTTAAAAACTTAAATTACGATGTTTTTGATAGACTAAGATTAGAATGGATTTGGAGTATGTAAAATTTACATATTGGGAGGATGAGGAGATTAAGGTAAACTAGGATTAGAATGTATTCTGTGTATGTAAAACCTACACATTGGGAGGATCAGGAGATTAAGGTAAACTAGGATTAGAATGTATTCTGAGTATGTGAAACCTACACATTGGGAGGATCAGGAGATTAAGGTAAACTAGGATTAGAATGTATTCTGAGTATGTGAAACCTACACATTGGGAGGATCAGGAGATTAAGGTAAACTAGGATTAGAATGTATTCTGAGTATGTGAAACTGACACATTGGGAGGATTAGGAGATTAAGGTAAACTAGGATTAGAATGTTTTCTGAGTAGTTGAGAACTACATATTGGGAGGATCAGGAGATTAAGGTAAACTGATTATGGAATGGATATTGATTGAGCTTAAGTGTCAATTTATTAACTGAACGGCTTGGGAACCTAGCGCTGCCAAGGTTACTAAAAGTTACTCCCTTTTTATATCTCAATCTATGGTATTTTGTTCGTAATTGTAGTAGTGTCAGTATGGATCCGTAGCAATTTTATTTTTGAGTTTCTTTTGAGTAAAGTATCACAATGAACTAGCGTTTATTTATTTTGTTTTCCTAAAAGTCTTTTAGGTACTTTTTGGGGAAAGCAACTAATAAACAAATAAATATTTTAATAATTATGCCTTTGACTATTTTCTCTCTGATGAAAACAATGTCATTTTATTAGTTTTGATTACCCCAAGTTTCTAATGCAAGGATAGTTAATTGCTTTCGCGTATACTCTGCGTACATATTGAAAACAGTTCTCTCTGGGCGGAATTTGTAAACAAGAATAGATGCATCAGTGTTTGTTAAGTATCCGAGGAAGGTAAAAGCATTTAATTTTGATAATTTTGAATATTCACATAATCAGGACCAAAATATTTCATTGATTATTTATGTGAAAGATGGATCCCATGTAAGGCTTCGACATCCGTCTTGTGTTTACATTACCGCCCAGAGACAGTACACTGCGGTACAAAAGATGCATACACTTCTGAAATGACACCTTGCATTATAATCTTGGATTACCCGGAGTAATCTTTAGTTTTTTCATAAGTTTACTATTATGACAGATAAATCTGCAGTAAAAGGAGAAAGAAATTGGCCAGCTTAATGAATTAAAAGAGCTTTATGGAATTTTGTTTGTTTAATTCATTTGTACCCTAGGCTGCAGTTAAAGTTGCTGTTGAAGAGATGGGTATAGAAAATCTTGAATATATTCACGGTTCGTCGGGATCAGAAGAAGATGAAGTGGAGTCTGAGAATCTGATGGATGATGACATCATTGAGGAGATGGAAGATGAAAATATTGATGAAACTGGAGAGATGTCTGAAAAGGAGGAAATCTTGAGGAGTTTGGAACTACGCTTCAGGTTTAGATATTGTTACATTTTTCTCATGCATAGGGATTCAACTTTAGGAAAAAAGTTTAAGTTTCTGCCACAAGCTCAAATTATCCAATCACTATATTTTTGCAACCTGATGGTGTAAACCTTTGATATTTCAAACTTAAGATTGTTTTATCTAACAGAAAAGCTCTGCGACATTATGTCGCAAAGATAAAGTGATAAGAAAATCATAATTTATGACAAACAAGATTTTCTAGTCCTTGTTATCCCTTATCTGTACTTCATGCAAGACGGCTTTTGCAAAAATTTCATTTTTTTTAATTGGAAAAAAGTGGCATTGAGACTACAGAGGGTTATAGCTTTTTCCTAAAAGGTTTCCTAAAAATCTGTACTCAAAGGAATTGAGTCTTTGCCACAAACTCTGATTTTCTAAACACTATATCTTGGGAAGCAAATGTTGCAGACCTTAGATATTTCAAACTATGATTTCTGTTAGATCAAATAATCAGAGTTTGAAATATCAAAGGTTTGCACCATTGAGTTCTAAAGATATTGAGGTTTAAATATTTGATTTTGTTCCAAAGACTCAATTCCTTTCTGGTTGCATAAAGTGAAGTAAATCAAAGTTCTTGTCGTCATTTAAATTTACAATCGCTTAGATTTTAAATAGAAACCCTTACTGCAGTGGTTATGATCAAATTTAAATTAGGAAGCTCTTTTTACACCGAAAATATTCCTGTAAAACCTCAAAATTAAACTTACAGTTCACAGTTCATACTTCAGGTTTTCTCGTCCGAGCCACATTCTCCTCAATTTCTCGTCCGAGCCACCTCAAAATTCTCGTCCTTTTAATATTATTTTTTTAAGTATCTCATCCTCCCAGATAAAACTATGAATCGGGCCACGTTAGGGCATTAAAGAAATATCGAATTTTTGTAAATCGAAAAAAAAAGTTTCAGTTGAATTAAAGTTTTCAAGTTTAATGTCTTTAAAAATGTTAACAATTTTTACGCGCATTTTTAGATATTCCTGGTAAAGAATGCCGCAAATAATTCTGAGTTTTAAGTTTTACCTAAATAAAGTTTGACATCATTCTCGTGGGTTTGAAGGTTCCAACATGATGCAATCATTGCAATACTTCAGTCTATCCATATTTTAAGCCCTAACGTGGCCAGATTTTAAAAAAATAGTTTTATCTTAGAGAATTGGAAACTTTTTAACACATAATAATCGAAGGACGAGGATTTCAAGGTGACTCGGACGAGAAAATGAGGAGAATGTGGCTCGGACTAGAAATTGATGTGGCGGGCCTTCCTTCCCTCCCCTGGTAACAATATTGGTATTTGATATTCACGATTCCCATCTTTGAGGTTAAAATGGAACACAGTTTTGTGACCCATATTTTGAGAGTAGAACTCTAACTTAGAAAGCAATAAATCCACTAAAATACTGTACTTTATAGCGACGAGACTTTGAATGAGATTGATGAAACCAAATTCAAGGATTTAGTTCTTCTTTTCAGAGGTCTCATAGAGATTTCTAGCAGCCAGGTAAATATTTTCTTCACTGGGTTTAAATTTATTGCAATTAAATCTTTGACAGGGGCATATATTACTTAGAGGTAAAATTTATCTTTAAAGTTTTTAGCACAAACTCGGATTTTCTAATTCAATATCGTTGCAACCCAATGTCGTAGACCTTTGAAAATTTCAAATTATGAATGCTGTTAGATCAAATAAATATCAGGTTGCAAAGATAAAAGGATTATAAAAATTGAATTTGTGACAAAGACTGTATCCCTTTGATTTTGAAAGTTATTCATACTCCTTGACTTCCACACTGATATTAACTTTGTGTCCAAATGTTATTATGAGGAAAAATTGATTTTTGTAAATTGGAGGATAAGCAAAAAAATGGATTTTAATTAAAAAGATTTTTTTCTCCTGTATGTGCCTCTAATGGGTATTTTTCAGGGAGTAAGGAATAGGAGGGAGATATAACTGACGCGGTTCGCCCTACCATATGATTATACATGCTTTGCAGACGGGTACGGGTACATTTGAATAGGAAATATTTGTCTAATGTACATTTACCGCGTATACAATAACCTATTCTGAATATTTCATATACAAATGGAGTACCCGTCTGCAAAGCATGTATAATCATATGATAGGGCGAACCGCGTCAGTTATATCTCCCTTCTATTCCTTACTTCTTGGTATTTTTAATTACAGTTTCATTCTCCACAAACACTATTCAAAAATAAATATATGTGTTCAAAGAGTTTGTTTAAGGTTTTTTATCGTTAAATTGGAATTCTTACAAAGAAGTAAACAGTTCAAAAATAAATAGATAATTAAAGAGGGGGGGGGGGGCTAAAATGCTGAAAGTATAAACCTCCACAAAAGTCTCTTTTGCAATCATTGTAAAACGAGTTATTTGAATATTGTTAAGATTTCTTATTTAGAAGCTTGATCTATTATTAGGTTCAATAGAAAATTCCAGTTCTTATTTTTAGGGTTTAAACGAGTTTCTAGAACAGAGATTAAGGTGAGCATTTTTGAATTTTTGTATTTTTTTTGTATCTTATTCTATCTTATTGTATCTTATTGTCTTCTATTGTATTTTATTTTATCTTATTGTATCTTATTGTATCTTATTATATCTTATTATATCTTATTGTATCTTATTGTATCTTATTGTACTTTATTGTATCTTATTGTATCTTATTGTATCTTATTGTATCTTATTATTTCTTATAATATCTTATTGTATCTTATTTTATCTTATTATATCTTATTGTATCTTATTGTGATTGTAAACATTTTTTGTTGATTTTGAAAAATATCTCAATTTATTTTGGAATTTGTCAAGCAAATGAAAAAAATTGTTGCAAATTTTCTTTTCTTTTTTAAAATAATTTTTGCTAATATTTTAGGAAGTATATTTTATCCCAACCAAAAACTTATTTTTTCTTCAGGGATGACAGTATTGTAGAGTATGTTCTAACCTTTATCAATCGTCTAGCCGTTTCCAGCGAGGCATTAATTCAAATAGAATATAATCCCATGGTATTTATTTCCCGTGAAAATCACCGCCCCCCCCCTCAAAATAATTTGTTGATACTTGAGAGGTGATTCTTTATCTTCTATCTAGAGATGTTGAAAATATCTTGTGGTTTGCTATATATATTTGCTATATATATATATTATATATCAAATGCAAACAAACTTCTGTTTTCTTCATATTTGCAGTAATTTATTTAGAAAACGTATGTATTTCCCATTTTGTGCCATTGTTTAGATTTTTAGGAGATTACTCTAAAATGTCCTTTACCTATGATTTTGTTTATCAATGAATGAAAGATGTGTTTCGTAAAAACTAAATTTCCAAATCTGTGAAATATTTCTAGTTTCAAATGTCCTTTCAAAGAAATGTTTCTATATTTAACTTCATGAGTATCGTTAATTAACTTCGGGCCAACCACTCAAAACAACCAACCCTGGTTAGGCGGGTCCAAACTGCATAATAAATTGTGATTGCATATTTTTAACATCTCTTTCTTTGTAGTTGAATAAAATTATGAAATATGAAATAAACTTGGTACTTTATGGTCCTAAACAATCGGGAAAATGTTTCAAAAATACTTCTTTTTAACTTTATACCAAATTAAGAAGATTGTTAAAGGCTGTTGAAGATGGAAAACCTGTCTATTGAAACAAGGAAAATATATATATTTAAACGGACTGTAAAAATTAACCCTCTCTATAAAGATTCACAAAAGTACCTGGTCTCAAAACCTCAGATTCTAGCAAAATTATAACCTTAATGTTCTATTGTGGTTTCTTTTCAAATCACGGGGATATATGCAGAAGAAATTAGAAAGGAAGTTGACTTAAATCAACGCTTCTGAAGAGTGAAAAACGATGAAATTTTCTTCTTATTTTGCATTAATTTATCTGGCATTTAAATCTATATATAATAATAGCTTGGGAACCCAGCGCTGCCCAGGTTACTAAAAGTTACCCCCCAGCACTAAGACGATTTTATTGGGAAACTAAATTTTTGCTATGGAAGTAGACCCACTCAATTTAGACTTTAAAAACCAAGATAAGAACATTCCCGTGGGCCACCCGAGTACCCCAATCAAAATTTGAGGCAAATTGGTCTAGGTGTTCATGAGTTATGATCGGATAAACCAAAAACAGACAGAGATTACAACTTTATAAAGATTACTTCAAACCATGTAGGCAGTCCCTTAAAAGAAAATTACTGATATTCCTAAATAAAAAATAAGATTTCATGGAAAGTAAAATGTTTAAATTCATATGTTTCTGATCAGTTCCAGAGTGGAAGAATTTGTACGAGGGTTTGTGGAAACTAGTCTAGAGGAAAAATTTAATTTTTTTTTTAATTTATTATCTTCATAGTTTTCATAATATTTTGTAAAATATGCATATTGCAGCAAAGGAACTGAGTCTTTGCCACAAACTCAAATTATATAATCTATATATCTTTGCAACCTGATAATGTAATTTTTTTGATTTTTCAAACTTAGATCATTTTAATTTATAGTTTGAAATATCTAAGGTCCACGATATCGGATGCAAAGATGTATTAGAAAATCAGATTTTGTTACAACAGCTCAATTCCTTTAAGGCTAAAAGGATCAACCGTACCTAGAGATCAACTAACCATACCTTGATGTTCAACTTTCCAAACCTAGTTAAACTATCTGTACCTAGTTAAGTTACTTTTTGATATTCCCAAATTCCAACAATGAAAAAAAATTTATTTAAATTAAAGGACTTGTATGATTACCCGACTCCAACCCGTGAGATTGTGTTACTCTGTTTGGTAATCTTCTCTCAGCACTATGTCATTGGTAAACTTAGTATTCAAATTTTTAAAAAATANAATTAAAAAATCCCCCCCCTCCCCATTTAAAAGTCATTAACTGTCTTAAGCCGATAAGTTCAAAAGTGAACTTCAAACATCCCCTATAATGGCTAGACATGGATCCTATGAGACATTTTTATGGTGTAAAATTTAAAATAAGAGTGTATAAAGTCGTTTGTAATATTTCACCAGTTGTTTCAGTCAGCAGAAGAAACGTTTTTTACAATTATTAAATAGACTCTGTTTAGGAACATTTTTCTTAAAAGAATTTATTAATGAAAGCTAGTGTAGGACCGCGGAATCGATTATTTCATTATCATCAATACCTTTCCTGTTTCTATACTTGTATTCGCAGATTTCTTCAAAATGTCGTCTTAACAATTAAAATAAAGAAAATTTCCAACAAGCGACCCATGGGCTGAAAGAATTTGCATAAAACCTTCCGGTCTAAAAATTGTACACCGTAAAAATGTCTCTTTGGTATAAAATGAATCCTAAAGTTTTTCTCTAGAATACTGCACTCATGCACCTCTACCCCTAGTAAAAGTAAATTCAACCTATATGAAGCATAAAGTCTGACCGTGTCAACCTTGTTGCAGCGGCTAGTCCTGTCCATAGAGCAATGAACAGTATAAACTGGGACCGGAAAGGTTGACCCGGCTCGGAAATTTAAATGTACTGCCCGTGCACTTTCAGATCAGCTCATTTTGAGCAAGTCTCTCCCTTCAAGTATAAATTTGATGTCAACAATTAATATGTGACATTTATTGTATATAAATAAAAACTTCATAAATATACTGCAGAGACAAATACAATTAACTATTTTAATTCAATCATATGTTAAAATTATTTACTTAAGAGAAAGTAATTGAGTCTTTGCCACAAACTTTGATTTTATAACCCCTTGATCTTTTAAGCCCAATGACGCAATGGCTTAGATATTTCAAACTATGAAATCTGCTATATTAAATAATATAAGTTCGATATATCAAAGATTTACAAGATCAGGTTGCAAAGATTTAGGGATTAGAAAATTTTAGTTTGTGACAAAGACTCAATTCCTTTTGGGAATTTAAATAATTCTTATATCTTTGCATCCCAATGTTGTAGATCTTATATATTTTAAAGTGTTATTCTGTTGTATTTAATAATCCAAGCTTAAAATATCAAAGGATTCCACCATCAGGTTGTGAAGATACAGGAATTAGACTGTTTGAGTTTGTTATATGCAATTTCTTTATCGTCTTTTTAGACAAAAATGCGCGAATAATGGGTTGGTAATATTATTTATCTGTATTCTTATTTTAAATCTTAATCGAACCTGAGCTCTGTGATTAAATGCGAAGCAATTTTTATCTGTCAAGGCATCTTATATATATATATATATATATATACTTTGCTTGTCTGCCTGTTTGTTAATTCACCCTGTATACCGAGTCCATTAGCGCCTGATCCAATCAGGGTTTAGTCATGTGTTTGGTGTCTATTCTGGAATAATTTCTTTAAGAATATTAATTTTCTTGAATATTGTCTTTGATAAAGACAGCGAATTTATTTAGAAAACGTATGTATTTCCCATTTTGTGCCATTGTTTAGATTTTTAGGAGATTACTCTAAAATGTCCTTTACCTATGATTTTGTTTTCAAATCTTTGTATTCAAACGGACATGTCAATCTATAAACTAATTGAAACCATTTTTTAGTTTTCATAAAACAGTGCTTCCAGAACCTCATATTCTTCCAAAAAAGAAGTAAGTATTTGTTATGATCAAAGATATTAGGGATAAAATATTAATTTTGTTAAGGAAAAATGGAAGGGGGTATAGGTTGCAACCTTAACATTATAAGGAGTTTTTCGCGACCTATATGAGTTTGATGTTACTGTCTCGAGAAATTGATACATGTGGCAACGTTATACCAGAACTTGTGTATATGAGATGTTGTATTATAGGAATTAAAGTCGGGTTTTTCGCCCCTGTAATCCCATTTAGTAAATCTCAATTGCAAACCCTCAGAAATGAGATTGGATCTTTTGTGCGAGGGAGTATGAAAACTACAATAAACACGGTATATAATGCAATACATCAAGGAGGCTTAGGAATGATTGAGATTGAATCCTACATAAACGCGATCAAGGTTGGGTTTTTTAGGAAATCAATCAATAATGACGATTTTTGGGCAAAAGAAATTCAAAGTTTCAGAATATCTGAAGATTTCCCGTTTCATTTTAAAAACTCAATAGCAACGAACACTCCTTGTGGAGAATTATCAGTTTGTGTTAGGACATTTTGTAATGTTTTCTGGTCGACGAATGGTAATTTTCTTGACATGAGAATCTTTGATAATGACATAGCAAGATTGGAGTCTGGTGAGAAATTAAATATAAATCATTTCAGAGAAAATCTTACACCGGGAGAAACAAAATTGGTTAGAAAACTAAGATTCATCAACCTAGTTGACATACTCAACAGCGATACTTTCTCAGAAAATAGTCTAACGTTATACCTTGGGTTCCGACCTAACTTATTGGAATTATTTTATCTAAAATCGGTGCATAGAAGCGTGAAGAGGCAGTTTTCAATGAACAAAGACAAAGTTTGTACACCTATCGTTACCTTCTTTAGGAAAATAGTTAGGGGCAGTGTTAAGATACGAAGGATTATGGATAAGGTTGAGTCAGAGTTCGGGCCGACGCCTGGCTTGCGTAAGCGAGTTGCCCTAACAAATTACATAAACGCAAATCCTGAGAGAGATTGCAACTTCTATAAAATTTTTAAGATCTCAAAGTTGAAAAATAACCTACGTAGCTTTATTTTCAATTTTACATCTCAGACTCTATATCACAACGCAATGATTGCACACTTTGTTCAGGATCACAACCCCTCATGTCAACCGTGCGATTTTGGAAAACTTAGACCTGCACCGAGAGAAACTATCTCCCATATTTTCTGGGATTGCCCAAAAGTTTACGATATTCTAACTGATTTAAACCTAATAATATCAAATGGGGTACTATCTCATGAAGAATTAAAAATTACAATTTTCTTAGGCTGTAGCAATCCAATATCCTATAATATCGAAACAACCAACATTATTTGCTTTATAGTCATGTACTTCATATTTTCCACAAGGAATAATAGACGAATTTACAATACGATCAAATTAAAGAAATTCATCTCTTTCCACACGTCTAGAACTAACAAACCCTTGTTTGTCGAATATTGAAATTGGATCAAATTTAAGCTTTCTTGCTAAATATAATAACAACTTTATTAATACCGGGCGGATGACAATAATAATTGCAACCTCCCTAGTCTTGCCAAACCAAACCATTACAATACTACTCATGGCTAGTCAGCCATTTTGTGTGAAACTCAATAAGGAATATATATTCGAATTACAGTGTAAGCTTTGCGTACGTTATACCAAAATTGAGCCATTAATAGTTTTTAAATCAAGATTCCTTAAGAGTCCATCCTACAAGGATAATTCTGACGAATCGTGTTACACAAACCTAAAGATGCTTAGGAACCCTGCATTACATCTTTACGTTAATCATAAAAATATAACCTTCAATGGAAAACTTTATTTCGTCCTATTTCTGGACAATCTGAAACAAAACGTAGCGTCCTCACTGGAACGCAAGAAAAGTAAATCCTTCAAGGATATTTTTAATTTATTTGAAATTTTTGTTTCAAAAATATATGTCTTGAAAAAGAAAGAAAAATACACCACAACTCAAAGAGATTGTGGTGATTATCGATCCGTTAAGGATACCATTCTCCCAATGAGTGCAGGGAAAAATATAACAGCTGATTCCGCTCAGGAAT